AATTCTGGATTTCTCAAAATAGCTCCCAAGCCCTTGGATTGAGTGCTGTGCTGTGATACTGTGAAGGCAGTTCTGAATGCAGAGAGCAGAGCAATACTAAACCTCAAGAGATAAGCCTTCAGCTGCTGAATGATCTCAGTGGCAAGAATGTCTATTCCTTCATTTGAACCCTGCAACTATTTCTGCATGTGCCAACAGGCTCAAGCAAACCCTTGCTGCTTTTATTTCATGCTAGGAATATCAGCACTGTTTTTCCCTCTTTCCTTGTATTCCCCTAGATTCCTTCAGAGGAGAAACTACTCCAACCAAGTAACATTAAAATCAAGTGGACTTCACATGACAATTGTTTCATCCTCTGGTGAAGACTCACATTCCAGCAGCTGTCCATATCTGTAACATTTCATCCTCTACTCCAAAGTTTAAATGTATTAAAGGGGGAATATTTTCTATCATGGCAAGCGTATTCCAAAATCAAGGATCTACCCCAGTAATTGCCTGGACCATCCTTACATTCAGGCATTTCAACTCAAGACACAGCTCCTCCTAACCACAGTGGAGGCACTGTATAGAAGTTATGTATTCATGCTGCACTTTTTAGATATTTTGCAAATCAGCACCATTAGTTTCTGCCAGAAGACACATCCAGGTCACACCACAGCAGCCGTGCAGCTGAGGTGTTCACTGAACCCCAGTCGATCAGGAGCACAATGTCCAATTCCAGGCAAAGCTCTGTTCGCTGCTTACTCCAGACCAGTGCTGAGGGCTTGATGGGATGGCTTGTACCCACTGCTTTGGAGTGGTGGCTTTGCTCTCCACTCGTCACTCCAGAGGCACAGAGTGGGCAAAAGCTACATTTCTAGGGCAGCAAATCACCCCTTGAAGAAGGCATGTGAATTTAGCAGCAGGATACAACTTTTACAGAAGGAACCTGTTCTTTTTAAGTTTTGCAAATATGTACATATCCTACGCAAGTATGTTAAAAAATAATAATAATTAAAATCAGTAGCTGAATTCAAATTTGGGGTTTTGGTTTTTTCATAGCAGATTTAACGAGTTTACCTGTGACCACAGTAACTAGATGGATAGCTACAGTCACGGAAGGTGGAGGAAATATACTCTCCACAAACGCAGCAAGAAGGATCTCAATGAATCCGGCTTCTTGCAGTGTTTCAAGAGCACCATCTCGTGGTTTTCCCTTTGCAGAACATACTTTATTTTTTCAAATCTCTATACTGCAGCATAATTTCCTCAAAAGGGTTTTCAGCCTTTGGCTTTAGAAGCAGATATTTTGGGAGATGGGGAGGGAATTCTTATCACAATCTTAATCTAGATTCCTATTTTAAACTCTGTGAGTTAGGGTGGACTTCATATTTTACCACTAAATATTATGAGCTTTTTGGAGAATGATCACTGCCAAAACTGAGTTTTAAACTTTTTTGTCAAACAAAACATTCAACATGCTAAAATGTTGCTTCCTTGCTGTGGATCCTTTGGTTAGTGGCAGTATATCTGGCACATGCCACACATCAGAAATCAGCCTCCAAGATGAACAACTAGGCTATGTGCTGTGCTAAAGCACCAACAGTTGCAGAGTTGTAGTAAGAGGCTGGGGAGGGTGTTCTGTTTTTTTTTTCCATGTGCCACTGTCCTCAAAGCACAAAGGCTGCTGCTGGATGATAAATGACACTGATAATTACATAAAAACTCATCCTTGGTTTTACAAGTTATGATATCATCAGATTAATCCAAATTATCTGACACTTGTCTCCCGTTTCTCTAGTAGCTGTGGTAGGCCAGCTGAGATTGACTTTAATGCTTTGTAGAAAAATGTAAGCACCTCAAGCAGTTCCTTGGGCTTTTCAAGACATCATCATAAGTGCAAGAGAGAAGAGCTGCAAAACATGGAAGTTAAATGTGGATTTCAGAAAGTCCTAAGCCCCTGTCTCTGCCTGCCTCCCAGCTAGGGTCAGGATGAAATAAGGAATATTCTGGCTCCATACTTGGTCAGGCCAGGGAGAACAGCTGCTAGCCACAGAAATTTTCAGAGCAGAGAAACATCCCACACTTCCTCACCATGCAGAGCAACGCCTAGAGATAAAAGCAAGTAACTGAGTGAAATCTGTACTCTTGCACCAGCCAGCGGACTCTGGCTGGCTGGGTAGTTATAACCCTCTGAAAGGCATACGCAATGCAAGCAAGAAGCTTATCGTGTCCCTGCAATGTCACCGGGGCTGCCAAATGTTGAGTATGGAAATGGTTTTCACAGTACAGCTGTAGTAGCTGGGGACAGCTCATCTCCATATGGCAATTACTATGCTCTTGTGCTAGGTGCAACTCTCACATTGATTACATATCAAAGGCAGGTTCAAGATAGGCCAACCACAGATATTAACAACAATCTGCATCTACTACTTTATTCCTATTTTTGGCACAGAGATTACTCTCCTCAACACTGGTTGGGGCACCTGTTAGTACTAACATCCAACACCCTCACTCTCTCTGATGAGCTGCTTTCTCACTCAGCCTAAATGGGGACATATTGTCCATTCTGCTTTTTTCTGCCCTACACCATTCATTTAAGGTATTTATGACACGACCAACAATCATGTGGCTTTCAGTTAAGATGCATAGCTTTTATACAGGTCCAATGCTCAGCATTGTTGGACAAGATTTCAACGGTTGGGCAAGTTTACCCTAAAGGAAGAAATAGCTGTATGGTCTACCACAGATCCCTGTGCTTCTCTTTAGAAACTTTGCTTAAGAAAATTGAAAGCATTGGTAACGACCAAGGTCCTTAAGGAGCTGTCACACGCCTGTTGAAGATTGCAATCCTGAATGTCTATCTTGATTATTAACACTAAAGCTGGTAGGCAAGGGGCTGAGGATCAGGATAAGACAAAAATGGTTAAACAAGAGGAAAGAAACAACCACAATGGTTTGCAGCAGACCTAATACAGCTTGGTCAAAGCTTTCTTAGAGGTCAAGTAATCTGACATTTCCAACAAGACTTTAGGTAGAAGGTAGCTGCCTCTTATCACTCAGAAGCTAATGAAAGATGTTTCTTTATATTTTTCATCTCCAGCTGCGACCCCTGAAACCATGTAGTCCAATTACTCCCCCTTATCTGGAGGTAACGCGAAATTTTCCTCAAAATTCTGCATGAGCAGATAAATTTCAACAGGAAACAGAACACATACAGAAAGCAGCTGCTCTTCACTCTCTCCATGTACAAATTGCTAGGCCTACTAGAGAGTGAATAGTTCCCCTCAGTAAGCTCAAAGCTTGAAAAGGTAAACCTGTTAAGCTTGTAACTGATGAGCAAACGTTTGCTTATAATATTTATCTGTCTGCTCTGCCTCATAGACTCGCTGTTGTTGCACGCATATCAAGCACCTGACCATTGCCTTTTCCGTGTCTCACAAATACTGCAGACACCACTACCCAGTAGTTGAGGGCTGTTACTTCTATACAAACGCCATTCTTGTTCATGCCTGCAGGACCGGTTGGTAAAGGTGGTATGGTCTAATTACCAGAATAAAGTATAAGAGGATGGAAAACTTTCTCCGGTCATTCTCAGATCCTGAGCTTATCTGTAAGTGGGGTTAAACAGATTTATGTTCTGGAAATTCTTGACACAATTCGGCCAGCTTTTTATTTTAAATCTCAGGTTTAGGTTAGGGAATTAAACTCGCCACATAAAAGCAGAATGCTAGAGGCTCGGCTCAACTGTTTCTACCACTGCTGTCACAAATGGAAAATTAACAAGCACAGGAAAAGTTGCCATGCAGTACAGAACGTCTGCCCCATTTCAAAGAGCAAGATCTGCAATGCTGCCTTCCCAGTCTGTTATCTACTTACTAATGGGGGAAAAAAACACACCCAAGCCGCAGGCATTTCCAGAAAGTGATCAGTCCTTTCCTTGCTGTGGAATCACAAAGACTTTGCTGACAGTGTTAGCTCTGCAGCAGCAGCACAAATTCAGATGATAGAAAATTTTCCATTGAATGCATTGGTTCAGAAACTATCAGCAATTACTGCTAAGAGCCTTTAGGTAAGCTGCACAAATGCAGCATGAGAATGGATTCAGTACATTTTACACAAAACCAGGGTATCTGCTCCTTAATAGATCAATATTTTTAAGCATTGCCTACTGGAAAACTTGAGAAATGAGCATGAAAAATAATCTTTTAAGATGCTAAATAGGAATTTTAGATTTTGTGGTTGAAAACAGCAATTTATTTTTACATTTACAAGACAAACATGAATAATATTTAAAGTAGTATTTACAAATATACACAAATATTAAAAAAATATCTTATTTGGAAAAACCTGGCAAAATATTTTTTAGCATTATAGCCAAAATACAGTACTTTTTTTTTGAAGTTGGAAAGAGTTCAAGGAAAACCTACAGTTTCTGAATGAAGAAATGAAGGAAGAGCACCCATGTAAGTTTTACATAACATAAAGCATTGGAGAAAATGGCATTATGACCTTTCACATTTTAAAATTAAGGCAAAGCCTTGGCAAGAGAAACATAAAATCTAGACTCTCTCATAATTTCATGTTAAAAGGGACTTCACCCACCTCACTTGAAATTCTCACTTTAAACACTTTTAAGAGACTTTTGAACAAGTGTAAACATTTAAATAAAACACAGATTATGCTTCCCCTTCTGTCATTCAAGAATTGCTAGGGTTACACATAGAAGGCTACTTCCCAAAGCTATTTTGTTTTGTTCAATAGACAAATTGCCAGGACAACATTTAAAATATTATTTGAATTCATATGCAGATTTTTTTTTCATTTATAGATTAGTAAGCGTTTTTAGAATGGATTTTTGTGATGATTCCTAGGAATTTTAACACAACCATATAGCACAGACAAATAATAAAATTAGCTTAAAAAATACAGAATAGCAGAAAGCATTTTTCTTGTTTGGTTTTCTTTGAAGATAACTTCAGATCCTAAAAACCCTGACAATCTGTATTGGGATGGATAGATCACAATCGCTGTAGATTCCGTTTGCTTTTCTTAGTCCCAGGAAGCAGTTCTAGCTTTGAGCTGGGTTTCACTGGTTTGCCACTCACACAGTCACTGGAGCTATGGTAACTGCACATGCATTTTGTGCAAAAGTCGAAGCCGCAACCTTCACGATTGCATGTTGCTCTTTGTAGATAGGAGTCATACTTTGCAGGGGAGCCACAGCGGTGGCAGACTTTAAGGCTTTCAGTATTCTTCAAGGTCTTGGCAGCCTGTTGGAAAATTGTGAGTGGAGGGTAAATACAGACCCCAAACATTGCCTGTTGTTACCTAACGTGCCACAAAACATATTGTAACTTCTCCTACTCTAGAAAGAAACCACAAATTTAACCTAACTCTGGTTATATCAAATTCTGACGGGAGATTGAACAGGAATAATCAGGCTATAACTGCAGTGACTTTGGACAGGAATAGAGGTAGCAGATTTACAAGTCTTTAAATTTAAAGCACAGACTAAATGCAAAGCAGTAAGAAACACAGCCCTCCTGAATCCTCCAAACTTCATTCAAAGATGGTGATTTAGTTAACCTTAGTTTAAAAAAAAAAAAAAGAGAGAGAGAATAAATCTGAATACCATTTAAATCAGTAACATCTTTGAAAAGCAAGCAATATGTCCCAAAAATCTCAGCTGTAGAGTACTCGGCCTGAAACACCAAATGGCAGCAATTCTAACTCTCTCAGTTAATCTTTTGACACGAAAACAGATCTACTATTCAAAATCATTCAGTATTAGAAAATCATAGACCCATATAACACTTTATATCCATTTAACTGTTAAAAGCAAAATGTTTATATAATCTAAATTATGAGTGCTTTTAGACTGCTACTTCAGTGTACAGTTGAACTTTCAAATTCTTAATGCTATAAAGTGTGATACAGTAGTACTGGAGCAGCTCAATCGTAATTTCCAGTGCTATTATATCCTCTTCTCCTATTGCACCAAATTGCAGAATAAGACTTTTGAGCTTGAGTATAAAATCTTTTCTAGTTAGGAAAATCTGTTGCTTGTTAATAATCAGTGACTTACAATAAATATTTTCAAGTCCTATAAGACTTGCAATGTAGACCTGCACCTACATGTGGGGGGACAAAAACGCTTAAATAAGATAACAAGGTGAAAAGAAACTTAAGGCTGTTGGGCCATTTGTTGACAACTCCAAATGTGCATTACACTAAAACTATGTAATCAAAAACAACACCCAAACATTTTAATGTTAGATAATTAAAGAAAAAAACAAACCAAAACCATAGAATAAACAGAAGAAATATCCATCTGTTTAATTTAAAAAAAATAAGACCTAAAAAAACTACTTAGTCTTTGGTCTTTTTTTTTTTTTAATTGCCCACCAGTGTTGAAGCAAAATTGTCAGTTTTCTAGCTTATCTGGACAACATGATTCATTATAAGCCCATGGAAATTACAAGGAAATTACTAGACTTTTTCATATATGATCCAAGCCAAAATTTAAGCCAAAATAACCCCAACCAGACCCACAAAACATCACTAAGGCATTTTGAGGGTACCTAGGCACCTGGGAAGAAAAAAGTAAAATAAAATAAAATAAAATAATTGTAGAACAACCCAGTGTATCGATATTCTCCACTTCTGACATAGTCTCAAAATAAGGAAAAGCAAATAAGCAAGATCTGGAAGAAATACTAGTAAGAGTTACAAGCACTTCAAATTGGAGATACTTCTTTCAGAAACACACTTTACAAGCTGATTGCATGCCAGATAACATGTGAGAAATTAAAGATGAATGGAAATCACCAGTTACCTCAGAAAACTCCATCAGCCTGCTGTGATTCTTAGATGCTTTGGATCTGGTGCCTTTTTTATTCAAGTTGTTTGGTGGGGTTGCTTTCTGAATGGAAGCTAAAGCTGCTCGGTAGAGAACATAATCCCTTGTTGCAGCATGCTCTGGTGCCTTAGTGCCATTCTAATAAAAAGAAAAAGAAGAAAATTTGAGAAGAGACTTATCTGATACTGACTTTTTGTTTAATAGAAGCCAACAAGTTATTTTTGATCCTTCTTCCTGCCTAGTTTCCACTAACAAAGCATCATACCAAGTAGTATGCTACTTATTTTACCTTAGCTTTCTGAGCAATGACTATTGCACAGTCTGTATGCATAGAGCAGACCCCTAGCTCAGAGCATCAAACCCATCATCTATTACTTAATGCAATGTGCTATCATATTAACACATCATAATTATTTAGGCAGAGCATTGTAAACTAGTCACTGAAGTGTTTTAAAGCACAAAGCAATATTTCAAATCCTTTATGGGGAATAGGGATGCTTGCAGCTTTAAGAAGTAAACTCATCCCACCAATTTTCTAAGCTTGCAGTTCAGGTTGAAGGAAAGCATACAATGGCAGGGAGGAAATCAAACGTTATGGGATGAATGTTCAGTGGTGTCCAACTGTTTCACCCCAACAGGCTAGAAACATACTACATAAAATCCTAACTAGCTGACTACCTGATTCTGTTGCGGATCCCAAGACTTGCTTCATTGTATCTTCCCTTCTTAAGGAATAAAAACACCCCTTGTGTTTTAAAGAGTCCTGCCGTGGTAAAGCACAATGCTTAATCTACTTTTTTTATTTCACAGAACAAATAGGCATTAGGAATAGCTCACAGTGCAGAAAGCTCAGTTTTCTGCAGCTCAAGCAAGCAAGCCTCTGCTTAGAGCCTCTAGGGCTTGCCCAGTGGGCAGTGCTGGAACTGAGCCTCTCCTTCCTGCCTTCCTCTGTAACACAGAACATGTGGAAGACCTTAAGAATACCTGCATCTCTCCTTGGGTAACCTTCTCTATCAGCCTTTCTTGGGCTCCAAAGAGTGAAGTGACCAGCAACACTTGAAGCAGGGCATCCTAACAGAACTCAGATACTCCAGTGACAATGTTTTCAGCCTAAGAAACTCTTCTGTGATTTCTTAGGCCTGGGAGGAATCCTGAATAACTGGTTTAGGCTTGAAATATCTAACAAATGCAGAAACTTACAGAAAGGTTTTTCACAGCTTTACTATACATTTGGAAAATCCATTTATCTTCTTGTAGAATTTTCTGCCATGTTGCGCTGACTTTGGCAAAACTGCAATGACAATACAAACATATCAGTTACCTCTTAGAAAAGGGAAAAACTTTTTATTTAACAGTGGGAATAACTATGTTATCTTTTTCTTTCATGTAGAAGATGGGATATGTTCACAGGAGTAATCTATAAATTTGCCTTCTAGGGAAAAGATGCATCCTCCATATATATCATGGCCTACATTGACAGTTCATGTTTTACTATATTACAGCGTAGTACTAACCAGTGAGCATATGTCACAAGCTCCATATCTAAAACATTCTTAAGCCACCTGATTAGGTTGTTCCCTTTCCCAATAAAACACAATGAGATCAATATACTTACTTGATTAAATCCATCTCACCAAGGTGCCTTAAAATGTTTGCTAATATATGCTTCAGGTCCTTTTGGAAGAGTTCAGCAAGAATGTCTATTTTATCTAATCCCATTTTCTTTCCAATTAGGTTGCAAAGTTCAACCTTTCCCATAAAAGCAATTTTGTCTACTGCAGCCCAAGACTTAAGATTTCTTTTACCACTTTTTTTCAAAGTTGAGCAAATCATTTCTTCATAATGGATCACTGGCAACAAAGTTTTCTTTGAAAGCTGTGTTTGGTTTTGGTTCTTCATGAGGCAATGCATTGGTGTTCCGCAGAGATTCCCAGCCAAAGGTATAATATCCTCATGTTCTATTGCATCAGTGTATTGATTACTTAATATAGAGGAATAACCACTGTCCTCATTAAATTTACTGTTTTCCAGGGCCTCTGTTTCATAGATACCTTCATCAAGTCTCTGGCTTACTTGTTTGTTTTCTTTGTTATGTACAGGTCTTCCTTCATCTTCAGGAGTTAGATTTCTGCTGGCCACATGGTATGAGTCACTAAGGAGTATTTTCTGATGCTCTTCAGCACACCTTTTACAAAAGCCCTCCTCATAATTCAAGGAGCTGGATTTTTCCAGTCTTGTTTTCTCCACAGTAGACTTCAGTGGTGCAAACCCAGCATGAAGAGACGTACAACCAAAATCACATTTCATTTTGAAAGAGTGCTTAAGGTTTGATTTCATTATTTTGTTTGTATCCTGCAAGAAACAACAAGGACAGTATTACATCACAGCTAAACTGTATCACAAATACTTTTTCTTATAAAGAACCAACTATGCCTTCCTTCTGCATTATGAATTTTAACCTTTTCTCTAGGTCGCCCTCCAGTGTCTAAACCACAGACAACTAGCAGCACTAAGGATCTGTAACAGTCACTATGTAAGATCTTCTGAAAATTGTTTTGCACTAGGATGAGAAAACTGACTGGGTGATTTACTTTGTCACCTTTCCACCAGTTCATATTACTTCGAGACAGACTGGTGCCTCCATTTCCTGCCCTACATGCAATGATATACTCAGGACACTTGTGGTCCCTGCAAGGGAGCCCAGCGGTAGAGGGTCCATGAGTGACAGCAGGCCCTGGCAGGGGTATGCCAGGCCAGAACAGCCTGAAGTTTGCATGCAAGGCCAGAGGCAATGCTGCTGCTGCTGCAGCCAGCTATCTGATGGGGCATTTTAAGAGAGGAGGCTGGGTGTCACAGGGAAAGCTTGGGTGCTCAGATGCATGCACAAATTACAATGGAAAGCAGCACTCTTTAAACATTGGTTAAAGTGAAACAAAGGTTACTTACAAACATGATTTTAACAGGTTGGATGTCAAAACATATTATAGGGAAACGGATCTTTTCTTACCCTGTTCCTTTCCCCTCCCCCCGAGGTGTGGTGCTATCTATATTAACAATTGCGGGGGGATGGGCGAGGGCTGAAGGGGAGAAGGAAGCCATTGCCGTCGTTACATCTAAGGGGAAAATAATTTTCAACATGCTTTGCAATCTGAAGGGTAAAAAAATCAGATGCCCTATTTGAGCGGGTATTTCAAGGGATTTAAGCACTTCCAGCAGTTTTGGAAAAAGTGTTATAAAAAAAGTGTTTCATGAACATTTCAGAGTTAAAAGTCCCTTCTCCGGACCTTAGTTTGGTGGAAGAAAGGCGCAAATACGCTCACGGCTTTGTATATTGTGGGCTAGGGGAGAGCTGCTAGCCCTCACTAAGTCTCCTCCTCCCC